GCTGCACTGACAGTGCAACGCGATGCTCAAGAAGGTGTTTCCAATGCTTTGCTACAACGTCACGGTGGTAGCACCTGCCCGTCACTTTGCATTCTACACCTTATCACCTCCGTGACTGGCGCGCATCTCTTTCCGTGGTTGCGCATGCCTTCATTTTCGAAGATAACTGCCAGATGGCGCTCGTGCCTAACGTGCCTAGATGCGCTTGTTCGCCTCCGTTACACGCTCGAGGCACTCTAACGCAGCGCCTTCAGAATACCATTCACTACTTTTCATGCGCAGAACATCAAATGAACGTTTTGTTCACTCTCTCCAGACGCAAGACTATCGTCTCTCGACGTCATTTACAGTGTAACGTGTAGATTTAGGCCAATTTTTTTTAAAAGAATGATAATGAAAAAAACACACTTCATAATAACAAACCAGAAAGCGATCGGTCCTTCTTCGCCCGTCACCCATTATTACTCAGCTGGACTGCGCCTACCGCCGGGCAAACACCTCTCCCATCTTTCACTGGCCCACCCGATTATTTGCTTGCTGCCACTGCATAATAACATTGTGTTAGCGTTTTTAGTACCTGTGCATGCTTTACATGCTATCCTAGCCAGTACCTCTGTAAACCTATATGTGATTACGAAACACGCCGAAAGGCTCCAAAAAAGTTTGACGACCTGCTGTTTTTTTAACATGCACCTATGATAGCACAGAATACGAGCCTGTAGCATTTCTCTCTTTTTTAAAGACGATAGTCTTTTTGGGGACCTTCGGCGCAAAAATTTGGTTGGTCTATCTGTCTGTCTGGCTCTCTGTAGATTTGTCTGTCTGTCCACTCTTAACCGCATCGGGTACTTGAAACTGCCGACACCATCCGCAGCGCCCACCTATGTTGCTCAAGGTTCAGCGTTCATACTTGCGCAATCGTCGATTAAAAAGCAATTATTGCGCATGCCTGGGGCACCATAACAACACGTATATATGCTGCATCTGCACTTTTTAGTAGAAAAAGCATCCATAAGTAATTTTAAGGACCATAGCGCTTATCACGCTGCGCTGACCATGCAACGCTTGCACGAAAAGAAGAGTGTTTCCAACGCATTGCTAAAACGAAACGGTGGTGGCCCCTAACGTTATCACCCCTGAGACGGGCGCGCACACCCGTCTCAGAGCCACGCGCTTTTTTTTTTCGAAGAAAACTGCCAGATGGCGCTCACGTCTCACGTGTGAGGTGACTTGATGGGCTCGTTCGCCTCCGCTGCACGCTCGAGGCATTCTAACGCAGCGCCTCCAGAATACCATTCACCAATTTTCTTGCGCAGAACATCAAATAAATGTTTTCTTCACACTCTCCACACGCAAGACTATGGTCTTTCGATGACATTTGCAGATTGAATGCAGATACGGGGCCATTTTGTTTTTGAGAAGCGAGCGTGGCGGCCGACATCAAACCCGCGACCTTTGGGTAAGCAGCCAAGCCCCATAACCATTGCTCCAACGTGGCGTATTCCGTGTCTGTCTTGTCCTGTTGTTCATGCTTTTTACTTTCATTTTCGTTGAACGTGGTCCACCAACCAAGTCAAGTTGGCACTGTATTGCAGGTTCTGTTTTATTAGTGTTTATCCCACGTTACGCATACTCACCTCTACAGCCGCGGGCGTACTGTAGTTACAGCGCTTCGCTGCTGACATAAAGGTCGCCGATTCAATGACAGCCGCAGTCGTCACATTCCGGTGGACACGAAGGGCTAAAGACCTGTGTACTGTGTAACATCACTGCACGATAAATAATGCGATGATGGTTGATGTTTCCACAGTTCCCCTATACGACGAGGTCGCTTCGTGGTCTGTTGAGAACTTCAACTATACGAGTACTTCGTTCGCAACACCCATACACCTGACCTTTGAAATCACTTGCAATAACTAGGTATACTTTCAAGAGCGCCGAAACGCTCAGTATTAGGACCGTTGTTGCTTTCTCAATTTTTTTTTGCGAAATCGAGCAACAGGTAGCAGCACCGTCACTGCGTTAGTGTGGATCGGCTGTAGATAGCACACAATGTACTCGTAAATATATAGACGTCCACGTTCGATTGCGCGCGTCGTAGTTATTTTTTGAATCATTTTATTTTGATAGCAAATATGTGCACAATCTTCGGTGGACTTTGCCGCCGGAATCGGCATCGGCGTCGCCGTCACTCACCGTATATATATAAATATATATATATATATATATATTCTAATAATTCATTGGTCTTCTTCCTCATCTGTCAATAACCATCATCAGTCTTCGCTTCTTTCCTCCACATCATCGGCGCCAACTTGTTGTTGCTTGAATAAAGCGTGAGCTGAACCGACTCCTCTGAGAACCAACCCCCTGGCAAACAGCATGGAGCTCCGATCCTTCATTTGAGCCATAATTCGTGAAGAATTACAAGCCTACAGTGTACCTCCTTCTAACAGCGTTCCCTCTCTGAACCTTTCTCTAGCGATCTGCGTAGAATTATTAGGGATGAAATGTCAGCATTTCAACGCACCCACCATGTTCCACCTTGACCCCAACCCGCTTCGTACACACATGTCGCTTCAATGTAATCCTCGCTGTCTGAAGTACCACCACCTGTGCCTGATCGCGACCATCCCTCCCCTCTAGTAGCCCGTCCACCGAACCCTGCCTACCATTCTCCCTAACGAGCCCCGCGGCCTGTTTGCTACTGCTGTGGAATTCGAGGACACATTTCCCGGTTCTGTCAACATCGGCAGCAGGATGAACGTCCTGGTTATACCACTTCTGAACGTGACGACACATGTGCTCGAGGTTACTACCGTTATGGCGACTGTTCTTCCAACCACCGATCCCCATCTCCTGTGCACATTTCCAACACGACCAACAGTACACGTGCCTCCAGACCACGCTCCCCTTCGCCACTGCGACGCTCTGTTTCACCACTTCGGCCTGTCTCTCAACTGTCTGCCCAGTGATCGGAAAAATAAACACTGCAGTTTTTGTAAGAATTCATTGGACTCAATTTTCCTCATCTGTCAATAGCCATCATCAGTCTTCGCTTCGTTTCTCTTCATCATCGGCGCCATCTTGCTGTTGCCTAAAGAAAGCGTCAGCTGAACCGTTGTACTTCAATATACATAAACTTAAAAAAGAAAAATAATTGAGAAAAGGCTTCGGGACGCGGAATCTACGAGTCGTGAATGTTATTTGATTTGATTGATTTGTGGGGTTTAACGTCCCAAAACCACCATATGATTATGAGAGACGCCGTAGGGTAGGCTTCGGAAATTTTGACCACCTAAGGTTCTTTAACGTGCACCCAAATCTGAGCAAACAGGCCGGGATTTAAAACCGCGACCTGCGAGTCAGCAGCCGAAAACCTTAGCCACTACACCACCGCGGCGGGGTGAGTCGTTGATGCGAAGCGTTAACCACTGAGCCACGGAGAAGTACCACCTTCAGCGTTCAAATGAAGCTATCGTGTTTTCGCATTACCAGAGAAATGGCTCAATGGGTACACGGCGCCACATCGTCACGACGCGTGAACGCGCACTCTCATTTCCCACGCGTACTCCACCCCGCGGAGAGGAGAGGATCAACGCTCACTTGCACCAACTTATTTCACGGGGGGGGGGGGGGGGGGGGGGGGGGGGGAGGATCGTACGGCTTAGCTGGCTTTGGGCTTTCACTGGAACAAAGCTGTTGAAGTCACCGGGAGCACAAAGGTTAATGCAATTGTTGCGTATTCTCCTTTTGCGAAAACGGCGTGCTCTTCAGGCACATTGAAGTAAGAACTGAGCTGGTTATTCGCATTCATCTGTACCTGTCAGTAAGCTTCTCGCGTATTTTCTGCATGAGAAACGCGGGGCACGTTCAGATCTGCTAGATATTACGAGCCGGACCTTTCAATTTTTTGCTATTGCGTTATTTGCTTTCACTTTGTGGAGAAGCTGTGACTTTTTTTCTTTCTTGCGCTTATATACATTATTACGACGTGTATGTGCTGCACTGAGCAGGGGAATAATAAGTCTGAAATTAGGAAGATCTCTCCACAGCTTTATCGCCAGCTGCCTCGCCATCCGAGCCTTCTGTTCAATAAGCCCTCGTGCCCTTACTTCAGACATAACAATATATATATATATATACGGTCACGGACGGCGACACCCACGCTGAAAACGACGCCGACGCGCCGACGCCAGTGGAAAAGCTCTGCCGAGAGTACCCATGTAATTGGTATCGAAAGAAAAATTGTCGATTTTTTCTACCACTTACCTCCAACTATGAGGTTATATGCCACACGTGTATGAATAAATTAGTTTGACGTCTTACGTGACAGAATTCTTGAGTTCTTCATGCCCTTACCAGACGGTCATATTCTTGAAACTCGTTTACGCGCCCACACTCATTTTTCTTCCCTCCAAGTTGAGGAGGCGATGGCAACAGCAACCAGATTTACGAAGCCAGCCAGCCAGCCGGTCAGCCATCAAATCAGCCAGCCAGCTAGCCAGCCAGTAAGCTGGAAACACAGACAGACAGACAGACAGACAGACAGACAGACAGACAGACAGACAGACAGACAGACAGACAGACAGACAGACAGACAGACAGACAGATAGATAGATAGATAGATAGATAGATAGATAGATAGATAGATAGATAGATAGATAGATAGATAGATAGATAGATAGATAGATAGATAGATAGATAGATAGATAGATAGATAGATAGATAGATAGATAGATAGATAGATACGCTCAAAACACCTTCAGTTCGCCAAAAAACGCTTCGCATTAAAAAATCAAACAATTCGCTTGAGGGTATTTGCACGCAGTATTGTATTTAACAAAAGGTGCTTCAATGGGTGGGAGAGTACAATTCTCGAATCGCGTCACACTGAGGCAAGGATATTCTGTATAGTTTAAGAAGCTGTACAATTGCTGCAATTTCTTTATTGATAATCCAATGCGCAGGTGCGCAACATAGAGAATAGCGCAACAATGAAGAAAGTAGAGGGCCAAGTGTTGAATTTTGAAGCCAGGTAGCTATGAAAGCTCGAGCAATGCATACGCTTTTGCTTTAGGCTTTTGGGAAACAGTCATGCCACAAAAGCACCTAGCTACTGCCCTTATAGTGACGGCTTTTTTGACGCTTCTTAAATGCGTACATGTTGAATACCCAGACACTGTTTTCAACACTCCTGATATTACAAAGGTAAGACACTTTGTGTATTCAGTAGACTTCTCCTGCGATTACACAAGCGCTACCATTTTCAGTAGAATAAATTAAAGCTACCGTATGTTTTCTATTGTGCGACCACTTTGCCGATGTGCGTTGAAGGCTTACCAGGCAATGCTTTCTTCGTTTGGGTATTTATGGCATTATCGTGATAAATGTGAAAATGAACACCCAGTGAGGATAAAATTTCTTGAGTTAATTTATGTCAGCAGCGTATTAGGCTGGAAGGAAGCTTCAGATATAAAGAATTGAGGAATATTCTTTAGTGATGTGGACAATGACCCAGAAACAACGAAGTGCGTGAAAATGGGTGTGTGCTTAGTGCGCAGATAGCAGTCTCACTGAGCGCCAACGCACCAGAACCACTGAAGTTTACGATTATGACAAGCAACGCACACTGAGTGTCCTGCATTGAACATGGCATGTCACAGGATCCTGCGACAGTTATGGTTTTAAGCATGCAAATTATTTCAGTGACACGACCAGTTAAACTAGCTCTTATCACCTCATGAAATTTACGAAGTATCGTAGTCCTCCATCAATTCAAATAAAATCTAAGAAAAGTGGCCCTCGCCACAAATATGTTTATAGTTTAAATATTTTCACTGACATCCCATTTTGAGCAGCAATAAGACCTGTTTTTATTCGAAACAAAATTTTTTATGTTGTGATTGATGTTTGGCTGGTGTGGCCGGTATAAGTTCTACCTCACGTAAACAGATCTTGCAGAACGGACTGACCGCGCATTTAACGAAAGGCTCGTCGCGTATGGAGTGAGAGAGACGTGAACGTTCGTGAGGCAGCATCTTGATATGTGATGCCTTGGAGATGGGGAGCACTAGACAGCATAAAATACACGGATATGGAAGGTTACGCTTGCTTCTAATAGAACAAGCTTCAAGGCTTTTGTACGCATGAGCGTAGATGGCTCGTATTGAAATATTCGCCCTGTTGTATATTTGAATGTGCATTGAAGCCTTCCGGACAAGAAAAGTATGCCTCATGTGTTTCGATCTTTTTGCGATCGTATATTCTGTCTATAGGTTATTGACTTTCTGAGGGTAATGCAAAATCAAGTTACAAATTTCAAATAATGCAGAATTTATGAAAAATACAGTCAGGTGATCGCGAAATCACCGCCCAAAACACCAAGTGCGACACAAGCATGGGAGCATCAAGAAAAATAAACTCTGAAAACATGAAACTTTAAAATGAGGACAACTCAAAATATAACAATTTTTATCTCCATTTGCTTAAAATCTTAGTTGGTGGCCAAAATTTTTAAAATTAGTATTTTTATAAACATTTCACTGTTTTCAACGCATGGCCAACTTTACTTTCCTGCTTTGGTATTTTCTTTGTACTTCCCTTGCCTGTCTTGTTATTTCGTTGTTGCTTCTGCAGCTGCAAATATTGTCACGTGTATCCGATATAATTATTCATAGAAAGGTTACCTTTCACTTTGCTTTGCATAATAGTTTAAACTTTTGTGGTTAGAAGTAAGTGGAAGATTGAGGGTTGAAGCAATGAGAGATCACTGAGAAAAGAATGCGGCTAGTGCTTGCGGTATTCCCTGTTTTCGACATTCCAACTGCTTCAGCTGCATTACATTTCCAGTTTCTTATTTCTTCAATGAAGCCCTCGCTTTCCCGCAAATTTCATTATTTGATTGATATGTGGTGCCTAAAGGCCTACTCTGGCGATTTTTTTAACCCGCCAGGATAATGATGATTTCAGGTCCCTTAGACACTCTAGTGCCCGATAACTTAAATGCCAGAAAATTCGAAAATTATTTTTAAAACAGAAAAACCGCAATATAAAAAATGAAACCCAACCGAGTGTGCTTCTATGCATGACGTGAAAATTAGCCTGGTGCTGCCAGAACCCGCCTGATTGCACATAATGCCCACCAGATGGCGCTACCTGTTCGCCATCCACGGAATTGGCTAAGACGCTTACGATGTTATGGTGATTATATGACGAATCGTGTGTGGCTCACACCGCAACGCCACTTGGCACCTATCGCAGCGCCCACCAACACAGAAAAAGAAATTGAACGCTCAACCAAGGATGTGCCGGCCTAGCGCACCCAATCTATAGCAGGCAAGCAGACGCTGCAGTGGCACATCAGTTCGTCACTTCCGCCAGGCAAAACTTGATGTCCCACACACAATTGCCAATAATTCGGACAAGCGAGGTGAGCGTTTCGAGGCAAGTCATAAGCTTTATTTGAAAAGAATCTCCGAAAATCTCAAGCCTGTAATCGGGCATGAATGGCGCAAACGTGCAAATGAACGTACCCAGTGAATTTCATTGAGATCCACTGACCTGAAAAATCGCCGGAGTTGGGCTTTAACGACCTGAAACCACCATATGAATATGGGAGACACCGTAGTGGAGGACTCCATAAATGAGGACCACCTGGGGTTCTTTAACGTGCACCCAAACGTGAGCACACGGGCCTACAGCACTTTAAGCCACATCAAAAAAACAGCCACCGCAGCCGGCGTTCGATCCCGCGACCTGCCGGTCAGCAGCCCAGTACCTTAGCCACTAGACCACCACGGTGCGGCTTTTCGGGAACGTCCTTCTCGAATAACTCTTGTGGGAATACTAAAAATTTTTCGGCGAATACATTGTAACGCTTATCGCCGAGACGAAGCAAGAGATGCAAATTTTGAGAATTTTGAGAAGCTCGCTAAACATTTTGGCATATCTTTACAAATGAGATATGATAACTAGTTGTCGAGTAGCTAAGCCTTTCTTTCGATATCAGTGGTGTCAGAAATCGCACACACCTGATATTTTTGGTATGCAAATAATTAAAAAACATTTAGGGTAATCTAATTCACCTATAAAAAGCTTAACTTGGTTATTCATTGATATCTGAAGTTTCTGAAGCAGATCCGGCCGTGAGGCTTTTAGAGAAACCATGCTCAAGATGACACCATGAATCGAGAAAGTCCAATGCCAATAGTTTCGACAATCACTCTCCACACAAGACGAAATGAATCTTCTCGGTATTCTTGGTCTCTTAACCAACAGAAAACCAGGCGGATAAAATAGCTTCATGTCGCATGCGGTTCAGTACGGATACGGAATAGCTGTCGTGTATGACCGAGTAGAGTTGAAGTTATTAATATGGGTAGGCGTGTTTTTTCGGGTTGCCTGTAAAACATTTCTCTACCTTAGTAACCTCTGTTTAGATGCTGCCCGCTAGTGGGCTCTCAACCTGCCCCATTATTCTCTCTTTTGAGAGAGGCGGACTACGACTTTGTGCTTACTTGGCACATTCAATCCTCGAATGCTTAAATTGTTTTTCTGCATTGAGCACCCTGGAAAATCACACAAAAAAGTGTGGCCTGTTTTTCCAGGGGGGAAGCTCCTTAAGCCGTGGGTCGTGCGTCCGCGATGTTTCCGCCGGAACTTCTTGCCACGTTGCGACAAGTTTCGCGCCATGTGCCCGAACAAGAGCAACCACACTCCGTCTCAGAAGGCGTTGACACCGTTTCGCGCTACAGACCAGCTGGATCCAATATTCCTCTCAGGAGAATTGAGGCTTTTCTCAAGGAGCACTCTCTTACCGTCCTTCCCGCTGATAAGGAAGGAGGCTTCGCCATCCTGACTCTGGGACTGTTTGGTTCTAAGGCTCACACTGCCGTAAGCTCTGTTTTCTCCTCTCGCGAGGACGTCCGCATTGAAAAAGTTAAATCGGTAGCAAAAAAGCTATGCAAAGACCTTAACCTTTCTCGACTTGTCGGTGGCACCACAAATAGTAAGCATGACTTTTTAAAAGTGTTTTTTAATGCAAAGACTCACAAGAGCAATATGCCTTTTAGGGTAATTGTTTCAGAATGTGATACATGGCAAAAATCAATTGCTACCTTTTTGCAAGAACAGTTGAACCGGCTTAACGTTGATGATCCTTTCATAGTAAAAAGTTCTGATCAAGTCATAGATTAGGTGAAAACTTGTGTCGATGAGCATGTTTATGGTTTTCCAGTCAACGTGACTGATTTGTATTATTCTATTCCCCATGATCAGTTCCTTCCTGCGGTTGAAGAGTGCATAGATTTGTTTGGCTCTGTTAGATTTCAAACCGAGTGTGGTGTTCCTGTCAGTAGGTTTTTAGAACTTTTATCATTTTACCTCAAGACGACCTACATTTCATGGGATGACAAGCCTTTTATTCAAAAGGACGAAATCTGTATCGGGTCTTGCATTACGCCTATTTTAAGCGACATATTTTTAAGTAGAATTGACACATCGATTTACCTACATCTTGATAATTTGAAGATAAAAAAAGTGTTCCGGTATGTCGATGACTATCTTGTTTTATCAACTAACGACACGGTAGCGGATGAGGCAGGTTTGGCAAAAATAATTTCACATTTTTCTGAGTGTTTTAAACCCTTGACTCTCACACACGAACTGCCTGAAAGCAATGCCATAAAATCCCTCGATGTCCTCTTCACCTTTCATCGTAACCGAATATGTTGGGCATACCAACCACGTATGAACAAACCGGTCCTTCCTTACCAATCAGCTCACTCCAAACTAGTGAAAAAAGGCATCATCAGTCATTGTTTTCGTCATGCTTTAAGCAAATCTTCTGAGCACAAAATCGACAATACTTTTCATTATCAGTCAGACCGTTTGTTGAAAGCAGGTTATCCTATGCACGTCCAAACTTCAGTCGCTGAAGGCTTGCTTCGTACGCTTCGCAACTCAGGATGTACAGCGAGTCGTGATTCCGAGAAACCTAAGCACCTAGTCATCATACCATACTATCACAAGATATCACACAACCTAAAGAAATTAGCTAAGCGCTCTGAAGTTAGGGTTGTCTTTTCGGCTCCCAAGAAGTTGGTCGGTCTTTGTGGCCTTCATGACCGTGACGGAAAACCCAAAGGTTGTAGTAAGAAGCATCGAACTGTTTATGTTCCCTGTATCATATGCGTTGTTTATCGTATCCC